ACACGGAAATGGTTGATGCCAGTAGCCCAACGTGTAAGGGGTTGTTGGCTGGCGCGCACGCCGTGGTACTGGAATGAAGAAAATACCTGTGACTAGTAAACGATGGGAAGAGATATAGGGAGAACCGATCAGAATGTGGTGGTGGCGAACGTGTCACTGCAGTGAACACCCTGAAGGGTCGGCTCGAGTAAGCTTGTGCGATTGTGCGCTGGCGCGAGTGTGCAGCTCTCGGAGCAGTCAGTCATAGGCACGGTTCTGCGAGTCATGAGATGAACAACAATGGGGTTAAAAGTCTTACTGTTGGGGGGTGTGTGTTGTGTTGAAAACAGTCATGGGAAAGGCTGAAATCGATAGCGCCATTATAATGTAATGAGACAAACAACTGTAAAGTTCTTCGGAAGTTTATTTGAGCGGGCGTGTTTGTGTGTGCAAGGAATTTTCCATAAGTAAAGTAAAGAAAGAATGGATTAACAATTATTTTATTAATACAAATGGTTACAGTAATTGGGACCCAATCAAGATAATTATGCTGAAGTAAAACTAAATTTTAGATACTTATAGTCTGGACAATAAGAGGGTCTCTTTTGAGCTGAGGCGTCCGTGGTCAAGTTTAGTTTAGCATCTTCGATTCTGTCTTGTCCCAAGCAATTAGGCAGTGAACTAAAGAGCCAGGACTCACTGTACAGTGTTTTTTTTAACTTGATATATCTCTTTCAATGACAGGATTAACTTGAGCCTACCCTATTGTTTTACTGTTATATGAACCATGACATTGCATAATTTGCCAATTATTATCCATGAAATAAAACGGTTATTTAAAGCGGTTGTGTAATCCTAATAGTAATATTATTACTAATATTACTATGACTACTATTACTACTACCATTACTAATATTACTAATATTATTACTAATAATAAAGTACAACAGTTTGGATCAGAACCACTAATTTGAGTGTCCAAAGAACTGATTCTCTACCCCTTTGACTACTTCACTGAAAGAATAGAGTGCATCAACATGGGCAGGATTCCTGCTCGAGGTCTGACAACTTTTCCTGAACTTATAAAATAAGATCATATCTTCATGTCGACCAGTCGTTTCTTTCATTTTCTCTTGCACAAGCTGGTTGATAAATGCAAGTCATCTCGCAAAAAGTTTGGCGTACACTATACCTTTGGGTAACATCCACATTATCGAAAATTGTTTTACTACCCCATTTTGAAAGTATCTAACGGGAGGTTTTGATATTGTAAAGAAAAACAAGAAAACAGTTTGAGTCAAGAGTCATATTTTTATTCTAATTTCTTTATAATTAAAACTACATAATTGATAAAATCAGAATTGTTATCATTCTAATAATATTCTTATTATTGTTATATTTAGTTGCAATGATACTTTCACACAGATCTTATCTTATTGGTATATTGACAGTGAGAGCAGATTTATCCATGTACTGCTTCCGCCGTTCTCTCATGGGTCCCAGCCTACGCTGGTGCATGTTTGGCTTCAGATCATGTTTTTTCATGCTCCAAACAACGTATTTCGTGCTGAAAAATAAGTACCAAGGCAAAACTATTTTGCGCCATTATGTTCAGGTGCGTCAATTACGGTCTTCAGACCGGAGTGAAATGAATTAGTATCGTATACTAACACCGATGTCCTACCTATGGAGTCCTGGGAATCTTCGCAATCACGAGTGACCAATTTATTTTGTGAACGAAACGCACTGGAGAATAGTTTACAAGGCGGCAGCAATAATTTTGCACCAGTACTTCGCACGTTCCTGTCCCGGCTATTGACAAAGGTGTAGCGTTCTTTTTCCTCAAATGACACATCTGCTACTCTGGTGACAAAACGGATCAAAATTCGCTGGAAGAGAACGTAATTATTGATGACACGATGTTGTTCTTAGTATCCTATTGCATCATCCTATGATGAGTACAACTAATGGCTCAAGTGTCGGTCAAGGATGAATCATTGGGGTCGGCGACACATGACCCGATAGGATTGCTAAGGGGAGAGCAGACTAAGAAACACAAATGCGTAGGCGTACTGGCAAGGTAAACGATCAATATATACCTTGGAATTTAGGGATGGTGTGAACGAGGCATGTCACCAGACTGTATTTCCTGGTCTCCAACACCGGTTTTATAAATCGGAGATGTATGGGGTAAACGCAAAAAATTGTCATTATCCTGAGACATCCGAAAGTGATGATGGGACAAGTGGAAAATATATCCGAACGTCCAGGTTTGATACTAGGACATATGAAAGTGCAGAATTTTTGATAATCGGTATATTACCACACGCAATCACACTTATAAGGTCTCTCTTTTTTGTCGTTTAATTCACAAGCTTATGTCCAAGGTTTTGATTGAGGTGTACTCTGCTCTGTCAGGCTGAAATTGTCGTCCTATATAGTGGTTGTCAAAAAATATTGACCTTTATCCTTCGAGCCATTTGGCTGGAATCTATGCAATTGATGAACAAATTCGTTTAAATCAAATGGGTATAGACCCCAAGAAAAACGCAGTGGTAACCCACCAAGTAATGCTCTGTAGACGGTACGGTGACGTATAAGTGAAGATCATAAGCTGAACGTTTGGTGTTACAAGCAAAAGCAGATGATTCGCGAGCATGCTCCGATATCAACTTTTAGTCAAGTCTCGTCCTCAGATGTAAGTGCAAGTATTTTCTGCATTCGCGTATGATGTCATATTTTCCAGTTCCCCTGTGGTCTTCCAGATTTTGTTCGAACCTTCAACCACTGAGAATCACAATAACACATACTACAAATAGAGAATGATACACTCCTTGGTGCGATTTCTGACTATTTACAGGATTGAACGTATTAGGCTGAAAATAAGAACCAGATTTCATTGCGTGCATACTGTCTCAAGAAGAACCGAAAATGATAAGATACCTTACCCAAGGGACAATTTTGTCGATCGATACTCAAGTGTGAGCGACGTTCACAGAAGAAGCTGATCTATGCTCTCAAATGTAAAAGACGAATGGCCAATGAGGTCACTCATGATCATCTTAAAAATTTACGTAACCCATTGGACTAAATTATCAACAAAATTTCTTAGCTCTGTTTTATGATAACTAAATGGGATGATAGCCTTGGAAAAAGAATCCTCAAAAGTAAGTTCACCTCGACGTATTTCAACTTTTAAAATGCCCTCCTTCAGCGCACTGTTTCGTGAAAACTACAACCACTGCATGAGTGAATTCAGTTGACTAATCCAAAGGGGCACCATGATAACATTTTATAAGTATGTGCATGATGAAACCCATTGATCCCACAAATTGTGCCCGACGAAGTAGGAATCGGAGCAAGCCCCATTACCGGATCAATATTAAGGATAGTCTCTTAAATGATCCATTTGCAAACTCTTAATATTCTCAGCGACGAAATACTCCGTAAATTTATTTTCGGTTAAATATATTTGTATTCATTTTTTTCGTGAAAAAGGTGGACTCACAATATCCAAAATCGTTCCATTTCAATAAAAGCTCCTAGAAACCTTCAACAGGTTCCTAATCTAGTTGATACACTGGGTACTCGATGTAACCTATGCTCTGGTATGACAGTTGCAGTTGAGTGCCACATGTTTTATGAATATCAGATTGGTAATGCTGGGGGATTATGGAAGGTACTTCAAATTATGGAGAAGGGATAAAAGATTGTGCATATAAAGCTCAATTCCATGAGCTTCAAGGCTGTATGAGGTTATCTAATGAATAGAAGTACCGTCACAAAAGATTAAACAGTTTGAACATTCATCAGTAACATGCAGAATGTAGCGGAATTGCAAACGTCATGTGGTGATTGTTCAAAGGAGTGTTTCAGCCGGGCTCTTATCATACATTTCATTCCATCTGAGAAGCCAATGAAGTCGCCTAAAGCTGAATAAGTACGCCACTGAACGCCATGCTGTATACTCCGAAGCGCTTGCATTCCTGTATACAATCTATTAACAATTGGAAGTTAAGATACTCACCAAAAATTAGCATTTCCGAAGATAACTCATATAGTCGGTCTCCTCAGCACAAACAATTTGTTACTCAGTTCTAGAGGACGTTTTCTGCAGGTGATTGTGTCTCCTTTGTAGTTTAAATCCGTCCTGATCTTTGAAAATGTTACTTCTAAACATTGATTTAGTGGGTGTATCGTATAAATCACTTGTAAGTGTATTCCTTCATTAGTGAGACTGATACACGCTAAGCTCAGAAGCAGCAGTGGCACGAACTAACTAAATTTCGTTCAACTGCAGTGGGTACTATATTTGGTCAGAGAAATTGCAGGAAACAGCTATCATCCGGTAGAGGTTGATTCCTCAAATAAAAGTAAACAGAAAGTGAGTGGAGTCANTACGGTATTTCACTGTGTAGCTTGCGAGGTAGAAGAATTTCCGTTACCACCTGATTTGAGACTAACGAGCTGAGCTTTATTTATAAATTTTTCAAGAGTTCGTGTTGTAAAACTGACAAAGGATTGAAAATTGTTTAGCACAGCTGGGCTATTCTAACTTAATTTTTTCGCCGATTTCAGCAATAAGTTAGCAAACGTTTTGACACCGATCGAGGAGACTATCTTCACTGCACAGCTGGAAAGGAATGCACTAGGAATAACAGAATCAAAGTAATTTTGGGCTTGTGTAAAATTGTGTATAGATAAATTGAACCAGCAAACCTGTGGTTACGTGGGTAGCTAAATGTTTTTTTACTTGTGAAGTTTAGGGTTATCTCCTAAGTTCGATCGATGCTTTCGCACAAAGAATTAAAATGAACAAAATTAAAACATCCTTACAGTATTTTCATCTCTCAAGAACCAGGTAATAATTCAGAGTAAGTACGTCCTAATTAAAATGGATTCAGCCCTCAGAGTAAATCATGACCATCGAGTGACACGAATGTGATTCATTCATTCGCACGATCAACCTATTGAATGAAGGATTCGTCAGAATATTCTAACAGATGCGTCTCCCATCATACCTGTCTTTTTGAGCTTCATTCTATCCGTGCCAACATACCTGAAAGCAGAAAGTTGAATCTATTGTTCTCAAGATTCATTAAGCTCAACGAATTAATTAATTTCATTTTCAAAATACTCAGTTTCCGTTTCTCATTCAAGTTGACGTTTCGCTTGAGAGGTTTTAGACAATTTCACTCTCCATATTTATCTTCTTTTTCTATTTTTGTACTAGTTGGAATTGATTCATGCTCAAACTAAGAATTTTGTACGCAAAACTTCTCAGTACAAGCTGAAATTTTCCAGTCGAGTTTGCAGCATTGAAAAGTAGTTGGCAATTATTTTGAATATCAATAATTGCTGTTTTTTCGATGTTTTAATTAGCTTTCTCTCAAGTGATAGTTCATTCCGGTTACGATTCAACGGTTTTACATTGACTTCTTACACTTATTCGAGTAGCTTACCAGAAGAAAAATGTGCATTTATTTCTATGACCTCAAAATGTCGGTTTGAAAAACCATTTGATTCTATTGAAGCTATCGTTACTACAAATGTATCTAAACAATGAAATTATACGCTTCAAGATTTTGAAGATTAGATTTACTTCTGCAACTAAGCTAATCAAAATTACTAATTAAAATCTGCTTACGGTGGAACGTTGAAGTCACTGTGAAAAGGAAAGACCATATTGCGTAAGTTAACCCTGATTTATCAAGTGTAACTGTGTCATTGATCGGTCTGGGATTTGATTTGGCATGTTCACATTTTATGCGCTTTGCTGAAAATTTTCCACAACATCCATCGCATTTCTTCTGGTGCACAACAACATAATTCGATGATATTTTCGAACAAATTTTTTTCCCAAATCATAATCACAATGATCATCGTTCCATTTGTTGGTTGACATTCTCCATTTGGCATCACCTCCTCCCTGATTAATGGTTTCACAAAAGCAGCACATGAAATCAAATACTGTTATTGTTACCAACTTAGTAATCATACGTTTACTGCTGTTCGAATCAGGTATTTTAGCGATGAACGTAATCAAAATCAGAGGTTGATGATCTGGCAGAAACATACCTCATCTTTTAACTAACTGAGTATTGGCAAATGCAAGATTATCACTTCTTCCAAAAATGCTGGTTGTTTGGTAGGCAAAATAAAACAAGAAACGAGAGATGGCCCAGGCGGAATACGGAGGGTAGGGATGGGGTGAGCGTTAAAGTGCAATGGTTTGCAGTTTACCAGCCTCTGGGACCATGCTTTTATACGGGTACACAAACTGACGTATTTCCGGGGGACCCAGCGAATAATCTGTAAGCATATGTTTACTCGTCACAGAGCCCTGTCAATTTTGATTGATGCAGAACTGAAACTTTTCTTTCCGTTCTTGCACATGTTCATTTTACGGCCTGCCATCAGTAAACGTTTGAATCACGTAAACTGTGACACGTTAGGCAAAAGTTGAACTATCATAATATTATATATATATATATAATATTATATTAGCTCACAACATTGAACATTGTTCGTTATCCTATTACATTGAATAAATCTATAATTGCCTGAAAAGCTAACACTTGTTTACCAACAGTCGGTATTTCTCCCTACTTAATGGGGAGAGAATCACTCTAAAAGTGAACGTGAGCACGACCACGTTGATTATTTGTAGCATGAACAAAAACCAAAAGCGGAAGTATATCCGACCTGGAGTTGTATTCGTCTTCGGTTCCGGTTAGTTAACAAAGTTACTGAAGTTAACTTTTTCTGTATTCTCTTCATCAAACCCGTGAATCGTAATCCATTTGAAAGTTAAATAATGGGAGCGATATTACCACTGAGGGTCAAAGCAGGAATATCAATGCTACCGTCTACGAAACACCAAGAAGTATCACCAGAAACAACAGAATGTACAATCACGTTTCACTTCATAGATCATGTAGCATTTAAAATAGCTTGAAAAAAGAAAATGTTCTTGACAATAAACCACGGTAATAAGTTTATCAAAGTCATCTTGCAGTTGTTTAGTATTACACTTCTCAAACGACGAACACTTAGTCTCATCTCGGTTCAGATCAAGTAATGGATTGAACAAAAACGCAAGTAATAAAGTATTACAAACTGAAGTGACCGAGTTGGTAATAGAACCAGTTTATTCAGTTAGTCGAGTAACTGTATGGTTAATGATGAATGAATAAGCAAATATTGATGCGAAGAGCTGAAGAAAGTCAAAGTTGCACAATGAATGAGTAAAGCTGCTTTTTCAAAATGGTATCTGCAAAATATGTTTTATGAAGAAGAATGTTTCAAAGGTGAATTCGCGTGTGTATAGCGAAATGAGCGTCACCTGAAAAGCCAGGAAGCACTGAACAGCTGGTACGATCTAGGTTGGGTTTCATCAGCAGCGTGAATCCATTGGCCCAACTGAGGGTCAAACCCGGGACTTCACCTACAGAATGCAAGCATGCTACAAATTCGGCTACCGAGCAGCCAGTCAGAACGATTTTTTCATTTTCCATTTACACGACAGCAAGACCAATCTTTGCGAGCTTGTTGTGGACTACAGAAATTGCTCAGCTCAGCACTAGGCTCCGGGTTATGACTCACTTGATTGTGCTATATTGTGCGAATTAGAGAAACAAAATGGTTTGATCAGCTGCTCGGTGGCCGAGTGGATAGCATGCTTACCTTCTGCCTGAGACATCTCGGGTTCGATGACAAGGAGTTCGTTGGATTTGCACTGCTGATGAGACCCAACCAAGTCGCAATATCTGTCCAGTGCTTCCTAGCATTTTGTTGATGCTACGTTCGCTTTATTCATGAATAATCGACCTTTGAAATTAATTCAAATCCTCCATGTCTGTCTTGGAAAAGAATGTGCTTGCAAATCTATAATAGATAAATAGTTGGCGAAGGTTTCTGGTTCTGTTCTTGCACCTATCCCTGTCAACAGGGATTCCTACGCTTTATTTTGAAACGCATACGATTTTCCACAAATAAGAAATAAATTGCGGAAGTTCAGAAATTTAGTTTTGTGTTGTTGCCGTTTCTGTCGGATGAAACAGTAATTAATTTGCCTCAATCTGATGAAAACCGAATAGACCCCGTGGTAGCAAGGAGTACCAAACTTACCAGCTCACAAAATGTTTACTGGGGGAAGTTCGCTACTCAATTCTGTCCAGTGTCAATGCCAATCATTTTTCACTCAAATAATTACTCCTTCCGGTATATTGGAAAAATACTTCATAGTAGATGAATCCTTTCACCACTGGCATTGAATTGATTTCAAATGAAATCACGAATCTAATATTATAAATATCAGTTATCCGCATAGATTATCGAGTTAAGTGGGCAAAATGAAGCCGGAATAGAGCAGAATTCATTTGTACATCATGTTTACAGCACCAATGGTCAAACGAGAATCATAATAATATTTATTCAAAAATGTATCGTTTATTTATCAGAAACTGTCAGAAGAATAGTTCGGTATCCCAATAACAAACAAAACTGGCAGAACTCTTTCCCACTATGCACAACATCGCGAAAATAATGGAGTTGCAGTTAGCGCTTAAATCAAAGAGATCAGAGTGTGTTTGGTGTGTGAACATTTTTAAAAAGAAGGCTATTCGGTAGTAGAACCAGCAACAGTTAACGACTTACTGATCACGGTCATGAATCATATAAGAGCACTATTCATTGGTAAACTACGATCATGCATCAACTGACCTGCATTCCAATGGGCAACTAGTACTTTCTAGCTTTGGGTCTGTCTCTACCACTTGGAATTAGATGCTTATTCTGACCAAATATGCAGTCATTTGTTCATATGGTTCAATACAATATGGATTTGTAGGCTAGTTCGGTAATTACTCTAGTTTACTATCGACGAAACACGTATAGATAAACGCTTACAAAACCAGAGTAATCTTACCTTTTCGGCAAACATAATCGCCGGGAGCGAAGAGAACCATACGCAATCGAAGCACCAATTCGGACAAGAAACCTTCCTCCGTGTTCTGAAATATCTCTACTCGTTTCAATGTGTCCAAATGCATTTGGATAGCTATCTCGGCTTTTAATTTGTCTGGTAGACTGGTCAGAACATTCTCCTCATCGGTGATTTTGTTTGTGTACCATAAATAGTCAAACCAATCGATAACTTTTTCCGTCAGCGGATATGGCACACGCCTCATTGATAGATAGTTTTTAACTCTGTCCAATCGACCTGAAGGTGGGCGTTTATTGAAAACAAAACAGGGGATATAAATTAGCGGGAAACAAAAAAATGGACAAAATGAAATCATGCGAAAACTTTTGTGAATGATTGTCATTTGTTTGAGTGGCTCTGTCGCAACTAATTCCATCAAGTCTTCCACTAAACTGACTAGTCTACTCCATTAAGTGAGCTGTTTCGTCGTTGCTCAGAACTCTTGCTTTTAACATCAACCTTGTCATCGTTGTCACATACTAGTTTTCGGATTTTTGAAAGACGACAAAGACCTAAATCGGTTAGGGAAAATAGTAATGTTAGTGTTACGCAGAATTGCAGTGTTCCAGGATAGATAAGTTATTTTAATTAGTAAATAAAATCGAAGGGTTCTGAGGAATGTGACTTTATCCTTGTTCGATCACAGAACTATGGCACAGTGAACGGACGATGAAAATGCGGGGAATTGACTAACTGAAATTTTGTCTTAGAAGGAGGAAACCGGTTACGTGAAAATGAATAAGTTTTTAAGGTCATTGTGACTCTCGTTCGTATTCTGTATTATATAGATGAACAGAAAACACAACATTATCAAAAACATTTACTCAATTTGGTTTATTACAACTAAATGACAGCCGACAGAATGAAAAGGAGTACCACAAGAAACAGCCTTTTAGAACAAGTCATGGGTTTAATAATGCACACCGATAATTATTAATTAAGTACAATCGAGCGTTGTTCAAGCGTGCCATATTAGAATGGCGTGGAGAATCTTAATTGTGTAAAGAAGCCCATTCACAGCGTAAAACATTTGGGAAACATGTTCCTCTCATTTTAAGCAAATGACGACACGTTCAAAGCTTAGAAAGGATAGCTGTTTATATTTCATCCGAAGGGTGAATGACAACATTTTTAGAGAGAAAAATAAAAGCTCAATTAAGGAAGCAACAAATATCTTCAGTTGATAAGTGATAAACCTTATGTTTTGTAACCAGAATTTCTCTTGAAATTGCTCATGAGAACCGTGTATTTGCTTATAAACCACTGTGGATTACAGTTATGCTTTTGGTTGCATGACCAACTTTTCCACGAGTCATGCAAATAAAAGAACAAATCGGATATAAAACTTAACAATCGCAACCTTCCTGCTATGCATCAAGTATATAATGCATCATTTCCCATGCACAGTTAACGCAAAGAATGTCGTACTTCAATATATGGGTAAGGATAGAAATTATTCGGTATTCCGTAAGTTTCTAGACAGTCACTAGTCCTTTGGGATCAAGGTGCCGTACACAAAAAAAATATTATTTATTCGGGCAAAGAATTAACATAAATTTTTCACATAACATCTTAATTCTATTGGAGGGTTTTTTAAGTCACAGAAAAATTTGATCAGTCTGTGTGACAACAGCTTGATTTGAATACAACGTGTCCTTAATCCTGGCTAACGTGTTTCTGTTCTGAAAGACAATTGAGACCACATTGCAACAAATGAAAAATGCCATGCATACACGTTATTCTCACAGTTTGATCGGTTTTCTCTTGATACTTAACCTGAAAAGTTTTCTGGACGCATTGGTATTTCTCCTGTGATTAGTTTCAATATCTTGTAGCATTTCATACCATCACCAAAAAGGTATAATTCCTTCGGTTATTCTGTAAAACGCAAAAAGCTTCTGACAATGGTAAACCGAGTTTCGCCAATAACACAAGGTAGTAATAAATAAAGTGTGAGATATTTGAGTACATCTTCCATCATCCCGTTCGATTTTACCCACACGCACATTTACGCAAAACATCCGTTCTGCCTATATTTGAATATATATATATATATATATATATAGCACATGTGTAACGGAATCCCTGTAACCAGTAAACCAGTGTTTGAACTTCCAAACTTTAATGCACGTTTACGCATGCAAACATAAAACACGCGAATTGCTTAAAGCGAGACGAAATGCAGACTACGCAAATATAATATCCTGCATTGAATCGAGAGATACTGACATATACCCGTTTGATTAACTCATACTTCAGTCACTGCTTCTAATATGGTTAACGACATCATCATAATCATCGTCATTACTATCATCATCATAACCCGAGTGTTTATTGGTTTTGCCCTTTATCAACACACTAATGGGAAAAATGAAAATATTATGTAGAGTAACTCGGAAAGGTTGGATATGCGGACCTCAATTACCAAATAAATTTCAACCTTTTCACTCTAAAAGTCTCGTTGCGGGCTCGTGTAAATATGGAAACAACATCGGGTAATGGTTTGAATTTTCATCCATATACTAGTACCCAGCAAAAATATTTACGCTACAATGACCGCATTTGCCTCATTACATCATTTCCTCATTAATAGAATCTAAGCCACCTACAAACATTGAATCGTTCTTCAATGGACTGGTTCTGTAAGAGCTGGTTATACAAATCTACTGGGTGCAAATGAGGTTATTCTGACGAAAACCTTTTATAGCTGTTTAGGGGTTCTGTGACGTGTATACAACTGCAACAACTTCGTTTAACGGTTTATACCGATATGGTTGTCTAAGAGATATACTCAGTGAGTCTCATGTTTAAACTGGGAACCTCTTCCAACAGAATACAGAGTAAGGGACTCAGGGCATAATAGCAGGGACCGAAAAAAATCGTTCCCTTGGCATGCACGATCCTTGAGTATTCGTGCCACGCGTGCTTTATCGCCCGCAACGGATTATAACTCCGTCCCTAAACGCTTCGACAATGCGCGACCATAACACATTTACATAAGCGAATTGAAAAGGAAGCGGTATTACTCCGACGCAGTCATGGGTTTATTAGGCCGCAGTCACTGAAATGTTTCACATAGATCGATTAGACAATATTTTTTGCACGTAGTATATACGCCCAGTTTGGATAATCCTAAAAAGCATTCTTTACGATCTATCCGACTACCACGAGAAAAATGTTTATTCGCCCGCTTTTTCATGCCTGCTAACATATGAAAACGAATGATGCCAGTGTTGATATCAGGCTCCTACCTAATGTTTCAGGTTAGGACCATGACACCAATTTACATGATGTTTAATTTATTTCGCACGTCCGTAACAGTTATTTACGGCTTTCACTGCGTATCACAATTCGTGGTGTGTAAGTGGGCACATTTAATGAAATAAGTAGCTCAAGCAAGCAAACAGTAAACACCACGCTCCAGCTGAGGCGACGCTTTGCACAAAGTTTTGAGAGAACAACTACAGTAAACATATCTTCTAAGACTGAAAAACATTGAAATTTTGTAAAGCTTTACATCTGGTTCATTATTAATTTACTCACCCCAAACAAAACAAAATAATATGGCCTGGATCCCAATTGTGTGGTTATTTTCGCAAGATAATTTTATCATTTTTGAGGGATTTCTAACATGAATCAGGTAGAACGGAAATACGTGAACATATTCCTATGACAACCTGAGATAAACCCTGCTGTTAATTTAACAGATTCAAACCTCCCCCCGCACATGACCCACATCACTCAAGGGAATAGCGATTGTACGAAACCATTTAAGTTGTAACTGATTTACTCTCTACGGGTGAAATGAATGAAGTTACCAAATAGACAAGTAAGTTATTCACACTTAGGATGTCCGATAAAACCACAAATGCGATGATAACATTGAAGTCTGTTGACGTACTATGGTAGTTCCAAAGGTGCAAGATGAATGGTTCACCACTTTTTTAAAAGAACATTTCCCACAATGCGTCTATAAACCCGTTTTGTAAACTGCTTTATCTCTATCAAATGTTTTTACAAGAAGTCAACAGGAATATTTATTAACATGTACAGTTCGTGTACAATAATGGTCAACTGGTCTGCCTTTGATCTTAAGGATCGAAGTAGATAAGATATAAATTATTGTAAACACATTAAGTATTAATATAAGTGAAAATCACAATGAAACCTAATTTCATCATACAGAAAACATTTCAGTGCATCACAACCGTCCAGTACTGTTCATTTTCTGTAAGCATAAAGGAATTGTGAAACTCAACAACAATTGAAACAAATGATTCAAAATGTTTTTTATTATATTATATCAGTATTTGTACTGCCCCGTTATCCACAACCGAAGTGGGTGTAACCAAATGAATGTCCATTATGTATTGAAAATAACATTCAATAATGCAAATATTGGTATAAGTCATACATTACTGAGCAATTTGTTATTTTTGTGTTGAATATTTTTGTTTCAGAAATCGGTAAATGAAAGTATGGATCATAGATTATCGAATGCGTGACCATCTGTTGTTGTAGGCTGAGGTACGTGTTGTTTGTCTGAGATGTATGGAAAACACGTTGTAGGCAATGATTTACTTATAACTGGTGTGCGGAACACTGTAAGTACTGTAAAGTCACAATTTTTATTGTTTCAGGTCTTCCATTCGTCAGTTGTGCTTCCTATTATGTGGCGCGAGCGTTTTAATTGTCATTAATGATAAATACTTGCCCAGATTGATGGAAAAAGGTCTTGTGTCTGAACCATGACATTATGTATCTGGTCCAACGAATGACTCACTGATCACAGATTGCAATCCTTGGAATATCGTTTCCGAGTGATTCCTTTTGGTGATTTTACTGAGTGCTTCCTTTGGCGCCTTCAGCAATTGTTCATTGAAACACACACGCACTGCTCCATCGATTGACTTTCTGTTTGTTCTGCCCGATGATTAAGGTAGCTATCAAGTGGGCTGCTCTCAAACCCGATGACTCAGAAGAAAACTCTTTTGGACAAAATGGTAAAAATATGGATATTAGAATTATTTATTCTAAAATAATTTAACCCATTTCGAGTGGACATGCATTCGATGGTAGGGACGGGGCCCACGTATGTGTTTAGATCCCACCAATGCTCCCGATCACAGTTGCTGTTTTAAATACAACAGTCGGCATTGGTTCCCCCATGTAAGTGGTGGGAACTTCCCGTTGAAAACTGCATCGATTGCATCTGCAAACAATTTGTTTTCTGCATTTTCGTGAACAGAAATTTATTCGAGGTTTTAACTTTACTGTCAGTTTCAGATTCATTTTTAATTCCAGCGAACTGATATA